TTTTCTTTATTTTATTTTTATTTCATTTAATTTTTAATTTTATTTTTTCATTTTATTTTATTTTTTTAATTTTATTTTTTTATCTCATTTCATTTCTTTTTATTTCATTCTTATTTTTTTATTTTTTTTATTTTATTTTTTAATTTTATTTTTAATTTCCTTAAAAAATGATAAAACTGTTATACAATAATAATGTGAAAATATTTCTAAAAAAATTATATTATAATAAAATTATATTTGTGTAATAAAATCAGTAATCATCTACTATACTGAATAATTTATTATAATGTTAACAAATTTTCTTATAACAAAAGTCTGATAAGTCTGAACACTAAATTTGTTATATCAAGTTTTAACTATAATATTCTATGAAAATGAGCCATTTTATAAATTCTATAAAAATCAACCTTTTACAAATTTTAAGAATACATTATAATTATATTCAAGTATTAATTAATATTCACAAAGTTTAGCTTTGAAAAGTATTCAGATACTATTTGTGATTAGATTAATATAGATAGTAAATAGTATCTAAGTATTAATCACAGAAAGTATTATTTTTAGAAGATACTATATGCAATGATATATGGTAATATAATTTTTAATTATTTATCTGTGATAATATAAGTTAAAATAACATTTTATTATTTACTTAATAAATTAATTCTTATAAGAATATATAAATAGTAATAAGTACTTAATTTAGAGATGATATAAGATCATAATAGATTCTTTTAATATAAAGATCATATATAAATATTTTATATCAATAGTAATTATTTTAGAATATTTAACTTTACATAATTTTTTAATAAGTAATCTTTGTTGAATAGTATTTTCAGAATGATGAAGAAAATGCTACTAATATATAAATTAAATAAATAAATTTAATAAATATTATATATTAAAATTTATTAACTTACAACAATACTTTCTTTTTGAACTAAAATTTATTTTAAATATTATATTAAAAAGAATAGAATTTAAATTAATAATATAGTGATTAATTTACTTAATATAATTAATACTATTATTCTACTAATTATAAAGTAATGATATTTATTATTTAATATTTAAAAAATGTATGGTAATTAAAAGGTTTTAATATATATAATATAATGTATTATTAGTATATATAATATAATATAAGATTATTATAAGACAGAAAATAGAAAAGTATAAGCTTATAATAAATAAATATTATATAATAAATGTCACTACTCTAATATTTGTTATTCTATATTAATAATATAAATTTAACTTTTTTCTTACTTAATGAGAATAAATAAATAATGATTATAGTAAAAAATAAAAAAAACTAATCATAAAGTTGTTAAAATATATCTTATTAGCATAATTTCTATAATTAGTTAAAACAAATTTTAGAAATTTAGAAATTAGTTATATCTTATAAAATTAAAACACATTATATTATATTATTAATAGATGAATTACATTATTATATAAGTAATCTCTTTATAATATATGATATTCATCTTAAACTAAATGATATATAGATTTATTGTATAAGAATAATATTATTGAAGAAAATAATGATATTTGATAACAATTGCCTATTATTTTATGTATAGATTTAAATCAAGAATAGAGTAATAATTATTATTAATGTATAGATTTAATTACAGAGTGAGATAAAAAAAACTGGAATTTTTAAATACATATTACGCAAAAACTAATGATACTAACTATATAAAATTAATTATTTATTTGAAGCTAAATACTAATTAATTTTATTAATATTATTTTAGAACAGAATTCGTTCACTATTATTTTTTATAATAAGTTTACATCTGTGTTTCATTAATCTTATTAATCTAATTAGGATCAATTTTAAAATAGCATCTTATTCTTTGATCATATAATAGTGCAAATCATCGGTATTCTTTAGAATTTTCTTCTTCACATTCTTTTTAATAATATTTCAAAAGTTTTCTATTAGATTTAGGTTCAGACTATTAGAAAGCCAGTCAATAACTTTAGGAAAAATTTTCTGAAGAAATTTTTTGGCATATTTGCTGGTGTATTTTGAATTATTATTTTGCTAAAAATGCTATTTATCTCTTAACAAGTCCTCAATCTCTGAAAGATAACTACAGAGTATATTTACATAAAATTCAGCATTCATTATTTGAGAAAAATAATATAACTTATTTTTCCTTTTATACAAAATTCTCTCATGCAAAGATTTTTGTTTGATCTTTAGATATAAGGTATATTAGTCATTATCCTTTATGCCAATGTTTTACAGTATTTTGAAATAGTTGAAAGATAGTCTCAACAGAAAATAGAGTTTTATCTCAATTATCATTAAGATTATTTAAGTCTATTCTACCCATTTATATTTATAGTCTGTGATCAGCATTAGCGTTACTTTTAAAAAGTCATTTTGATATCCAATTTTGACTAAATGTCTTTCTACTGTCCTATAAGATATATTCACATCTTTCAATGATAATTTTGTTGATAACTTTCTTATTAAAATAAAAAAATCCTAATAAATGAATTAAGCTAATGCTTTTAATGCATTAGCTATAATCTTTTTCAAGCAACTACTTCCTTCTATATGTTAAATCATCCTAAATTCATGAAGCTTGATAAGATTGTCATATACAGTTATGAGGGAAATTCCAGTATATTGATGAATTTTTCTAGCTTTCTGAATACCCTGATTTCATAATTATAAGATCGCTTAATAGTTAATTTTTTGTCTAGAGGTTATCATTTCTAATTAATTGATTTTTAGGGTTTTTTTTAAAAAATTGAAGATATTGGGGGGAGGAAATGAAAAAAATTTTAATATTTAATAATACAAAAAAATATATACTTACTTACCTTACAATTGTTTTTCTTTTTACATAGTTTAAATTAGATTTGATTTGACTAAAATCTGCATCTTTTTATTTTTCAAAAAAAATTCTGGTTTTTTTTGTCTTACACTATATGAAACATATCTATAATACTGAATTCTATAGTTAAAATTTATAAGAAATTAAATAAAAATATGGTTTAATATATAGTGTAATAAGAAAAAACATTTAATACTACAATTATTACTAATTTTTATAATAAATTTATAAGTATTTATCATAAGTTTATATCAGATAAATAAGAAAATATAGAATCTGATTTGAATATTAAAGAAATTAAGATTAATATAAAGAATTCTATAATTACTACACAAAAAAGAAACTAGTTGATAAAGCAAAAAATTATATTAAAATTTAAGAGTATTATATTAGAAAATATAAATATTTACAAATTTTAGATGTTAATTATATTTAGTAATACAAAATTAAGGTGTTAATAAAATAAGCGAATAACATATTAAAATTATGAAAAATAAATATAACAAAACAATATGTAAATTTAATAAGATTAATATTAATTTATTTATTTTAAATATAGTTTTTTAAATTGTTTAATTATGTAATATAAATTATACATTATTAACTAAATCTATTATAATAAAGTTTTTTTAGTACCAAAAATTTGTAATATAAAATTAAAGTATAACATAAATTTAGAATAAGGTATGAATTAGAATAAAATATGATATAAGGATAAGGTTTAAGTTAGAATTAGAGTTAGTATTAGAATTAGAATTAAAAAAAAATGGAAATTTTATTTCTTTTAGCATCTTATTTTTATTTAGAGAAATAATTATATATTTAATTATATAATAATAAAAAAGAATTATTTTTTAATTTAAGATTAGAAATTTTGTATAAATATAATAAAATTAAATTTTTTTAAATAATAATTTTACAATTTTATTATAATAAAAAATATTAATCTTTTTATATTTAAATAATTAAAATAAATTATTATTTAATATACAGTATAATAATTTAATATTATATTATTATTAAAATTATAAATATATAGTATTTCTTTTCTTTTTTATTATTTATTTATTTAAAATAACATATTAAATTTTAAATTAATTTAAGTATATCATTTTATTAAGTTTATCTAAATGATTAAATATAAATTTGATAACTTTTATTAAAAATTATTATATTTTAAATAAATTAGATTATAATCCTTAAAATTTAACTTTTAATATAATTTAAAAAATAAAAATTATTAGAAAATTACTTAGTAAACACGGGGTGTATGATAAATATAAACTTATTATTGTTTTAGGGTTAGTTTAGTGTTAGCATATGGAAGGTAAGCTATTAAAATCACGTTACGGATCATATGATTTAAACTTAAACTTTTTTTTTTTTTTAACGTGATACAAATTTTAAGAATTATAGATTGTTTATTTAAAATCTAAAAAACAAGATTCTTCATAAAATTTACAGTAAGCATTTTAATTTGTAAACATACAATAACATCTACCAATAAAACGAACTTTAGTGTTAAACTATTTAAGTTGTTTACGATTAGTAAGCCTAACATTACCTTATTCAGAATTTATTATTTAACTATTGTTCTATAGTAAAAAAAGTTCATTTTTTGATTATAACAATGATAAGAGAGTTTTAATTGATTGCATAGGCTGATTACAAATATCAAAGAAACATTTCTTTACAAAGCTAACAAATAGGAGATAGAAATTTGGAATTTTATCTAATAATTCGGCATTGAATAATGAAGTTTCTACCCGAATTTCTTTGGGTAAGATCATTTTATTTTATGAGAAAATAAATCAGGAAATATTTTCATACATAATTTATTTGTCTTTGAAACGATAATTTATAGCTTGTTTGCATAATGCATATCCGTACCTGAACACTAAATCCTTTATTAAATGAGAAATTCCTTAAAGACAAAGAGATCTATTTAAAAGTTAATATTTTTTCCCAACCTTCGTGTTACAGTGTAATCTCTTTAACTTTTGTTGTACTTAAATAAAATGACCCATTTAGAAATAAAAATAATGTTATAAATGTGGAACTTTTAACAAAAAAAAAAAAAAAAATAGTTTCCTTTTTTTTTTTTAAAAAAAAAAAAAGGAAAATTCCTTTACAATGCAAGAATATACAAAAGTTTTCGTTGAAAATAAACTTCTTTTCAATAAAAATAAAAATTCCGATAAGAACATCTCGGGATTAACTAAACGTTTCTCAAAATTACGTAAAAGTTTTTCGTCCCGAGATTCAGTCGTTGGACTACTATCATCCGAGATTAACAACTATTATCAAGATAGCATAAATGAAAAGAAACTTCAATCTTCAGACAATATCTTCGCTAGAATAAAATTGGTTGTTAACCGATTTTCTGGTACAGGAAGTGGAAGAAGTCGTCATAGTGAAGCTTATCACCAGGATGGAAAAACAAATCCTTTTGAATGAAAATTTCATTATCATTATTTATGTATTTATTTCATCTATTTTAATTTATTTCTTTTATTTACTTACATCAACGACTTAAGTTAGGGATTCATTTTTACATTATAATTGATTTACACTCATTTTAATACATTCAATGTATTCTACTTTTGATTATGATGTTCGCTGATCTTTATCTTAATCACGTTTGGGTAAACATCTTACTTTTCTTGGTAATTTTGAAAGATTGTTGGTAATTCACATGAACAAACTTAAATCTATTTTATCATTTCATTCAACATATGTAAGTCAGATGATTTTTTAAATATATTTTATATAAAAAAGTTAAAAAAAAAAAAAAAATAGATAGGCAAGGAACTTTTTTTTTTTTTTTTTTTTTTTTTTTTTTTTTCATTTTTACAAACATATTTATAATTAGTAGTCAAGTTTTTCTTTTTTAGCATGGGTGCCATAAATTCAAAAACGAGATATAAAAATAAAAAATTATTTGTTCATAAAAATTGTGTATCGGAAAGAAGAAGTTCTTCGGAAAGTTTTGAACAATGTAACGAGCTAAAAACTTTTGGAAATCGAAAATATTTAAATGGAGACAATGTTCGATACATTTTTCCAATTGACCATGATGAATTAAAAAGGTTAGAATTAACGCATACCTGGAATAAAGCCCTATGGAACGAACAATCATTTGCTTTACCTGCATGTGAAGTTTTTAACCGAAATGCTAAAATTTTGGATATTGGGTAATTATTATATTACGCGCATACACACACACACACACATATATTTTACAATTCATTAATAATAACTTTGATTTATTTAATTCCTGATTAAGATGTGGAAACGGAATTTGGTGGTAAATTTTCCCATATATATTCATATTTATATCTTTAATAATAATGTGATTTTTTTTTTTCCTTCAAAAAATAAAATGATGTTAAATTGAAGTGTTTATACTTTGGTTATAAAGTCTGGACATGGCGCAAAAACATCCGAATTGTCATTTCACGGGCTTTGATGTTTATTTTCCGCCTGACATTGACATAAAAGGGGAAAATGTTAAATTTACATTAGGAAATATCTTAAATGGACTTCCTTACGAGGACAATTCATTTGATTTAGTTTTTATGAGAAGCATGAAAGGTTGTTTCACTAACAAGGATTACAACTCATGCTTACAAGAAATGATACGTGTATCTTGCAGATGGATATTAATAATTGACTCTGATATCGTATTAATTGATGGAGGTCCTTTAGCGACCCAATTGAGAGATCAAGGTTAGTTAGTAGTAAACGAAATTATTAAAAAAAAAAAAAAATTTTTTTTCCTTTCACACTTAATGGTATGATTTATACATTCTTTAATATTATAGTTCTTGATGAACTACTGACAAAATTTGACATAAGTATGATGCCAAGCTCAATTATTCGAAAATGTTTAGAAAGTAGTGATAAGTTATCCGATATCTCTTTTGACGATGAACAATGTCCAATTGGAAAGTGGGGAGGTGAAATAGGAATGATTTATTGGCAAATTCTGAAATGGTCAACAAAGAATATATATCATTCAGTTTCATCATTAGGATACTCTGAAGAGGAATATAATTTAATGATCGATGAAGCATTTGATGAATTAAATCAATACCACGCATATAATATGGGGTTTAGGATTTGCGCCAAAAAAAAGATGCTTGAAAAAAGATTGAGTTCAAAATATTTATTATTTTAAGATCCACACGAGAATAATATTTAATAATTTTAATTTTTTAATTGTTGTATTTATTGTATATTTAAATATTTAATTACGCGATAACATCATGTATTGTAAAATATAATAAAAACATATCAATTTTATCTGTCGGTGTCAAGGGTGCAGTGATTCTTCTTATCTTGATGATTCTAAAACAAAGCTTGATAACCAATGCTATTATACTTGTAAACTAATCTAATGAAAAAAGCCATTGATATGAAAAAATCAAATGTTCCATCCTTAAAACTAATCGATACTTCCCGTTTGAAAGAAAATGTTAGGAACATGTTATGAAACGAGCTTTCCTTGAGGAGTAGAATTCAATTTATATATTATAAAGAATTATAGTCAACAATCCTGGTTTAATTGACGAGATGAGCTTTGGTATTAGGAGTAAACCTGTACATCATCAAATGTTCTAGATGATCAGTTGTGTATATCCATTTTAAAATTTGACAATTTGAATTCCTGATCAATTTTGTCATCATCATCAACGGAAGTTTCCTAAATTCAATAATCTTTGGTGTACTTGCAATACATTTTAATTGAAATTATGATGATGTAGTTGTCCACATTTAATTGGTTTGTATATATACGAATATATATATATATAAATAATGATTTTAATCCCACTTTTAAAAATGTAGGTCCAATGTTTTTGATTTCGAGGTTAATACTCTTTCGATGCTTACACTATATATGTCTACAAAAAAATGTCACGTTACTATTGCGTTTCTCTAACTACCCCAAAGTGGCACCCAGAAAAATTCTTCGATCATGTGATCTAAAATTATTTATCATCTGTCACACCCTTCGCGTTTTCCATTTTCATAAGTATTCTAGGGTGAAAATCATATTTGTCATCACAGAGTTTATTGGATTATGCATAATGCGGGCCAAATATCACGTGATCGAAGAATTTTCTGGGGGGTAAATTTATCCTGTTCTGGGGGTATAGTGTTCCGTAACTGTTTTTATCACGTGATATTTACTTTAAAAAAATTTTATTTATACATGGGGTACAGGTTAAAAGCCTATACCTCAGGTACATTTTTAAGGATGCCAATGATATACTTTGCAATAATGTGTATTTCGATCCGGACCAAAACGGTTCCCGTTTTCCTTAGTTTTATTATCCGTTTGAGTGAACCTTTATTGCTAGACACAGTAATAGTGACAACATCTAGAACTAGTTTCCAGGAGAACGCGGATTTATAATAAGATCGACAAGACAAGACGGGAAATACTTTTTCCCATTTTTGGGTACAACCTCATGCACAATAACGATAATACTAAAATCAAAAAATTAGGTTACATATTATTCATGCATAGCATAATGGATGTTTATTTTTTTCATATTGTTTTATAAAATTTGAAACGTTGATTATGCATGAAATTAAAGATTTTACCAAGTTTGGAGCTTTTTTGTCAAGATAAATAATGGTACTTCTTATTTAGATATAACAATCAAAAAAAAAAAAAATATTTGAAGATTTCATCATACTTACAATGATTGGGATTACCGATCACGTTCTAAACGATAATTACCAATATTAATAGACATGATTCCAAAATAAAGATATAAACTAAAGGAAAAAAATTAAAAAAAAAATTAAAAAATTATAAACCTTTCCTTCAAAAATGTCTTTCGATATAGTCGAAAAACATCACGTTCATGATAATTTAAAATTCTCTCGGTTTCGAAAATTACTTTCACAATCTTCCACAAATATACAAATAAAATTAATGGAACCTAAGTTACATTTTCAAGGGAGTCCAGAAGAATCTTTAGGTTGTTTTATGAGAGGTGAATTAATAATGAATTTAAATAAACCTACTAAAATCAAGCAAATTGAAATGAAATTCTCTGGATGTATGAAAACCTATTGGCCTCAATGCAACACTTATGGTAATTTATTTAAATTGATATTTATCATTATTTCTGTGAATAAAATCCCTCAAGCGTAAAAAAAAATTCTTTCTTTTATCATAAAAGGTTCAACCTTCCATTGGATCTTCCTTTCACCACCCACAAAAGGCGATCCAATCCCACCATCAACATCAATTAAGAAATACCATTTGTTACCAGCAGGCATTTATGCTTTCCCTTTTGAATTACTTCTTCCTGGTACATTACCTGAAACTATTCAAGTCGGACTTGGAAATGGAAACGTCTCCTATAAGCTTCGTGCCAAAGTCATCAGAGCAGGATTATCTTCTAATTTACGTGCATCGCAACATGTGACAATCGTCCGTACATTATCCGAAGAAACAAATTCTCAGGAAATAGCGAACTCAAGAAATTGGCATAACTCGATAAACCAGATTGATATACCTAATAAAGCTTATTCAATAGGAGGTACGATCAATATTGGCTTGGAAGTTATTCCACAAGCCAAGAGAGTTCATATACTTGGACTAAGGATCGAATTGAGTGAAAAATCTATTTATAGATCACGTGCGCAACAAATAGTAGAGTCAAAGGTATTGACAACTTATCGTACGAATGGTTTTTTGGAAGGGAATGATGAATATGATGAACTTGTGCCGGACGATATTCATTATCACAAGAATTTTGTTTTTCCTCTTCCTAAATGCTCGAATCATATACATTCATCTTGCACTTGGACATCAAGAACCATATCGCATAATTTAAAATTTTATATTAACGTTAAAACAGCTGTTATTTCAGAGAAGACAGAAATTACTAAATTCAAGAAAGAAATTATTGAAATAGATATACCGATCGTTTTTTCATCATGCAAATGTGCTGAAAATTTACCGCGATATGACAATCTTGATCATGTTTGCTTGCATGATTTACCACCCAGTTATGAAGCATTTCAGAGTAGAGGTAGTTAAACATTCCTTAAAAGAAATAACATTTTAAATAAGGAAAAAGAAAACTAAAAATTCATACATTATTACTCCGCTTTCGAATATTACACCGCCTATTTTTTTATCGTTTAGTTATTTCATTATTTTTTTTTCACGGCTTTCTATCTAAGCCTAAATAATTAATGCATATTTAATATGAAAATAAATGTTATCAAACGAAAACTATGAGCTAATAATGAATAAATAATAACAAAGTGACGTTGTTTTCTTATTTTTTTTTCTTAATTGCGAAGGTATCTCTCCTAATACAGTATATATTGGAATAAAATGGAATTATTTCCGAAATGTTTATTTATTTTTTTCCGTCGCTTCTTTTCTATTCGATAAAACACCATCAGGGTTTTCTAGCCAAAAGACTGAATCACTTGCATGCGAGATGGACATCAGTAATTCCATAAATTTCGACGAAGTATCAATTTCATAATCATACAAGACATCTTTGTTTGTCTTATCACGATTATTCCAATAGATTAAAAGTAAGGACAAACCTTAGGAGTATTTTGTTTCATAGACGGGCAGTAATTCCTGGGGAATATAGCAATCTTATGGATTTTTATGTCTGGAATGTATGGTTTGTATGACAAATATTTCCATACATGTATGGATTTTCTAAAATTTCGGAAATTAATAATAAAGTTTTTAAGTTTTTTAATTTGATTAATTAAATTCTTCAATTTGATAAATGCAAAATTTTTAATTAATTTTTATAAATTTTCTTAAACTTAGCCTGATTTTACTCATTATAATATAATGAATTAAACAAAACAACTACCAACGTGACTTATTATTTTTCTTTGTGTTCAAATCAAATCCGATCATTTTTTTAGATAATTGAAAATGTATTTAACGATGAAATTATAATTAATTTAATCTAATTAAATATATAAATATTCAATACCGGTATGGATTGAAAATTGAAAATTCCATACCAGTATGGTTTTTGCGGCGAATAATCATACCGGTATGGAAAAATCGTACATAAATTGGAACCATACATTCCATACATAAAAATCCATACAATACATGGTTTAATAACACCTCAATTCCTGCAAAGTAATTTTTTTTCTTGCGATTTAGCAGTCCATAGTTGAGACCACATGTTAATTTTGGCATAATTTTCGTGACCCCTGGGTGTTATCTTCTCTTTCAAATTTTCATACTTGTCTTGTGCTAATTCTCTATCAGTGATGTCACAAACAAGATCTTGATTATTTTAGTTTGTGATTGTTATCCATTTCACTTGGTTGAAAATGAGTAGATGTCATAATAACTTAGTTTTTGTTTATTGACCTGGTTTCAGTTCAATTCCAGGTTAATACCAGTCTTAACCCAGTCTTTAAGATCGATTCAGCCTAAAACTGAACCGTCTAACATTAGATCATTAACGTTTCAAATATAACCAAGTCATAATCTATAATTTAGTTTTGCCAATTAATTTTACAGAATTTAAACTATAAATGCAACCACAGAGTCAAAATAATGCAATAATAATTCAAATTTATATAAGCGTAATTTATTATTTTAGTACAAAAAATGTAAATATAACAATAAAAATGAAAGCAGTAATGGCCTTTCATTTTGCTATACAATTATGAATTTAAAATGCCATTTTATTAAATGAAAGTTTGAATCTGATTTGGTTCTTTTGTTATATAATTGTCTTAAATCCTTCCATAACGTTTTAAGACCTTGGAAGCAAATTTTGTTCGCTGATGATTTAATTATTAGTTATAACTTTCTAGACTTTATAGCCTTAGTTAATGTTCTAATATTGTGGAGTTGAACATTACAAATTATTCTATTTACGAGTTTTTGCGCATCAATATTATTGTCACAAAAGGACTAGAAGGTTATTATAATTTACTATATTCGTAGCTTGATTTTATTAGCAAACTTCCTGTATTAGTTAAAATATAGCAACTATTGAAGATGGAATTAGAAAAGTTTAAGGATGAGGAGGATGATGAGTTTGTTACAAACATCAAGAAGAAAGCTGCAAAATGAAAAAAAAACTAAAAAACAGCAAGAGAAGTGGAAGCAAGGATTAGACTTAAGGAACTGTATGAGAAGTTTGCGAAAGGTATTTGAAAAGTATATAGAGCTAGTAATAATATTACAGGAGAGGCTAACCGCAACTCATCAGATAAATAAAAACTTTGTGTCTCAGATATTAGGAACATAGAGTAGTATATAAAATAGATAATTGTGGAAATTTATTATATTACTTATTTTTCTTGTTTCTTATTTATCTCTTTTTGCTAAAAAATATGTTTATTCTTCAATCTTAATTTTTAGCATTAATACTGCTTGTTGTAATGACATGCTTGTCCAAACCAAGTTGAAGATAGGAATAGTTGACTACCAGTCACTCTAAGCTTAAAAAGATCAAGTTATAAAGGATCAAGAATGTGCACTAATTAAGAGATATATTAATTAAATAAACAAGTATATATATCTCTTTTCCTTCTGAACTTGCATTAGATAATATTTTATCTAATCATAATACTCTTACTCTTCCTGCTAGGTTATATTTTACATTTACAATTAAAGGAATAGCAGATATACTGATTACCAATTAATTTGCCATTGGTGTAATATTTATGTCAAACATACTTGAAATTAAGGGTGTAGACTTAATGACATAATGTAAATACAAATTGCGTTACATCAATATCTTACCATAATGTAAACTGAAATCTTTTTAATATTTAAATATATGATGCAGATGTAACTTAGACATCATGACTTAAATTATTTAGCTTATATAAAGATCCTATTAGTCTGATCAATAAACCTGAGACTTATGTGATTTTTAATGCAAAACTGCGTAATTTTAAACTATTTATTTATTTTAAATTAGCATATTGAAAACTAATTTTCACAAATGAAAATATTTATATGCCTACAAAAAATGATGTTGAATTTACATACATTATCTAATATTCTAATCATCATGAAAAAAATGATTAGAGCTTGCTTTATTATTAATACAATTAAGGCCTTAATGTTAACAACTACAATATAGCGAATAGATTGAATTTCTTTTAGTGATAAAAATTCAGAGATTGCTAAATTAAATATAAGTAAATTTTAGTAATATATTTACCAATAATTATGAAACAAAATATACTAACCTTTTTTTTCTTCAATTTTAAACGAGATTTATAGAAACAAAATTCTAATTAGAAGAAGATAATAAAGAATTTAATTCCATCTATTAAGAAGAAGTAGGTTAGTAAATATATCTGCTTAATTAATTAAATCCAAAGTAAATAGCTAATACTAACTTTTTTTTTTACCTTTTACTTAATAATTTTTATATCATCAACTTAATTATCACAGATTTCTTAAAATAAAACCAAAAAATCAAGTATTATCTGAATTTGATTTATTTATATAAAATAGATAGAAAGAAATAGGTTAGTAATTATATCTGCCTTATTAATTAGATCTGAAGTAAATAACCATACTAACATTTTTTTTACTTTTATCTGAGAATTTTTATTGATCATTATGGATTTATTAAAATAAGCTGAAAAATTAAGTGTAATATTTAAATTTGATTTCATTTATATAAGACAGATAGGAAAAGGTAGGTTAATAATTATATCTGCTTTGATTAACTGAATATGAAAAAGTAAAAATAATAACCTTTTAAGTAGTGTAGATTCAAGTGTTAATAATTAATTCTATTTATGATCCTAAAAAATAATTTTTATATAAGAGAGTTTATAAAATCTTATCTTATTCAACAAAATTGTAAATCTATAATTATTAAATTGGAAATCTCTAAAAGGTAAATTCTATTAGTAATAATGATTGATGAAAACAGATGAAGGAATAATGACTAACTTATTAATCTAACTTTTAGTCATAAAAAAAAATATCCCTACAAATAAAATAAAATCGTTTAGTCAGTCCTTTTTATTTTATGCTAAAATAAACTACTAATCGAATATATATTTATATTTTTATCAAAATCATTGAAAGCTGTAAAGATAATTTCTTGAATAAGGAATTGTATGTTCAATTGAATTGAATTTTGATATTGGATACTAAAGAAAGATATGATAAAGTTAATTTATTTATATACTTCTTTATTAATGTGAGTTTTTTTTATAATACAATTACAGTCAAAACATAAAGTTTTTTATAAAATATATTTTTCTTTCCAAATGCCTTTATTCAAACTTTTTTTTTATTTTAGAAAAAAAATATAAGAAAATAATAGAGATTAGTTAATTAAGAAAGAACTATCGAACCTAGTCTACCTAAAATAAAAAAATCTCTTACCAAATCATTTCGCTTATTAGTTAATAGTCTATCATATTAATAAAATTTTTAATATAATCATATTAACGTTAACTAAAGAATTGTAATTGATTATATAAAAATATTAGTCATAACTGATATAAATAAATATAGTAATAAACTAAATAAACAAAAAAAAAAATTAAGAAAACAAAAAACAAATCCTTATCCTTTCCTTACCTGAGTTTATATAGTTTTCAAAATTTAATCAATCAAAGAAGTAGAATCAAAATCTATATTTCTGACCTTTCTTTTATTTACATTATTTATATTTCTATAAATATTATTTTTTGTATTACCATTAAAGAATGATTGTATAAAATTAACAATTTCTTCTAATATCAAAGTAGCACTTTTATTTTCTAATACTAAATCATTAGTATTATCATATTCATCTTAATCAACTTCATTTAATATCATACTTTTACTAACCATAAAATATTTACAATTTCTCTTAATTCTACTTCATCCAATTCTTTTTCATAAAAAGACAACTTATTCTTAATATTTGTTAGATAATAAAAACGTATTTTTGCTATACTTTCAAGCTTTTTAATACTAAGCTTTATATACCTATCTCCAATCATCTATTTAAGTATAAAGAAATTTCATTCATTATTTATTTGTGAAGAAGTAATGGTAAATAGTCGAAA